GCTCCAGAATGTAATCAGTTCTACCTCGGTCAATGCTACCATGTTTCATGAGAATCAGGGGCAAACGTTTCCCCGTAATCTTGCTGATGAGAAGACAAAGAAACCTAAACAATATCCCTGTCAAAGGCTGAAGAGTCAAATCAAAGGAGAGTAAAAAGCAGACAATAACACGAGACATTAGGAGTGAGTTTGCTCAAGTAAATCAATTGCAGTTGCAACATGTTTCATGAGGAACTGGCACATATATTTCCCCTGATCCTGCTGTAAATGACAAATGAACATTAGGAAAAGTCCATTTAACCCTCCTATTGTCTTCGTTTCCCCTCAAATTTCACCGGTCCTGTTTTAACTGCTATTACATTAACACAACAACCATTAATCATCACCAAATTTCATTTAGCACCCTTTCAAACTGTACATATTGTATCAGAGTACTGGTATACATGAAAAACTGCTGTATATACAAAGAATAGACACTGAACATGTATTGCGTGTGCCAGGTGTGATCCATGTGGGGGGATGGGCACATAAGAGCGGGAAATGTATCAAATTGTTCTGTGTGTGTTTGTGTGATTCACATGGGGATGGGCACATAAGGGGGGGAACACATCTAGAGTGTGTGTGTGTGTGTGTGTGTGTGTGTGTGTGTGTGTGTGTGTGTGTGTGTGTGTGTGTGTGTGTGTGTGTGTGTGTGTGTGTGTGTGTGTGTGTGTGTGTATGTGTTTGATTATGTGTGTGTTTGATTATGTGTGTGTGTGTGACCTAGCATTACTATCCTTGTCGGGACCTAAATCTGTTTACACAGTCACGTGTGGGGACTGGCTTCCCTTATGGACAAAATGGAGGTCCCCATAAGGGGTATCATTAATTTTAGGGTGAAGACTTGGTTAGGGTTAGGGTTATGATAAGTCACATTGTGTGTGTGTGTGTGTGTGTGTGTGTGTGTGTGTGTGTGTGTGTGTGTGTGTGTGTGTGTGTGTGTGTGTGTGTGTGTGTGTGTGTGTGTGTGTGTGGTGTGTGTGTGTGTGTGTGTGTGTGTGTGTGTGTGTGTGTGTGTGTGTGTGTGTGTGTGTGTGTGTGTGTGTGTGTGTGTGTGTGTGTGTGTTTTATCTGATCCGGATGGTTACTAATTCCTTTTCTTTATGGGATCACCATGGGTGTTACAAAGTTGACTAAATCATCCAGAATCCAATGAAAGTGGTGATCAGCAATTGTATATGTTCAAATGTCGACTGTGAAGGATATCATGAAGCCTTAATGCAATCGAATGTAAAACAAAAATGTTATGATTGATGAAAGTAGTAAATCGGTCAGATTTGACCCGAAGACAACAGGAGGGTTAAAGATGGCAGACAATAACACGAGACATTAGGAGTGGGTATCGTCAAGTAAATCTGTGTAATTCTTGTTTCAAGATGGTGCTTCCTAAATGATCACTTGGGTGTTACAGCTGATGTTTACACCAGTGGAGACAGATGGAGACAGTTGCTTCCCGTGGGCAGTGAGACTGTTAAACAATTGAACTGTTGAAACAACTTCAAAACATTCATCTGCTACTCAGTAATATGTATCTACTATCTAATATATATTATTCCAATAACTTGTATATAGACTCGTACTGCACTATTCCACATGCTCACTTTATTTTATAACTATTTTTCTTTTTGTATTGCTCTTACTATCTGTATTGTTATTATGTTGCATTGTTGGAGAAGCCTGTGACATAAGATTTTCAACAACATAATTACTCTGTAGCTATGTCAGTTTGACAATAAAGAACCTTCAACCTTGAACCTTGAACCTTGGATGCTAGGTGATTAAATCGCGTCTAAAATGGAGTTTCATGGCAGAAATCGAAACACTGAAAAGAAACCACGTATGCATGAAGTAATCGTCGTTCACATGTGATAACAACTTTAATACAAGTGACGAAAACACCCCCAAGGGGACACAATTAAAGAATCTAAGATATACTTGCAGCACCTTTTTTCGTCCATTAGAGGGTTGCAGTTGCAGCTGCTGTAGACATTGTTAGGGGTAGATTGTGTGACATTCTTCTGCAGAAAAGCAGCTATTTGTTTCCAGTAGTTGCTGAGGTGGCAGGAGACATCTGTGAGCTGAATCCTGGTGACTGTTTGGGCGTTACAACGTGGTTTTCTGCTCATACAGTAATTACCTCGAGGAGTTTGATACCAGCGTTTTCCTCCCCAGTAAACCTGTCTATCTTCTACTTTTGAACCATTTCTCAAAACACCAAAGCTAGTGCAAAATGGCTGGATCATTTCACAGCTCTATTACAGTATCATGGAGCACGCTGTGAAAATACGGCACATTTTGAAGCGAGCCTCCTTGCTCTTATTAGGTGAGATTCTGTTACTTTAAAGCAGGGGTGTCAAACTCAAGGCCCGGGGGCCAAATCCGGCCCGCGACTTCATTTTATGTGGCCCCACAAGAGCTTGCAAAGAATATAATATGTTTATTATACGGTTACATGCTACTTTACAGAAGCACGTTGCCCATAAACGACATGTCCCACAATGCATCTCAAATGTGACTTTTTCTCAGAATTTGACTTTTTTTCTTCAACATATGCATTTTTTCTCAGAATTTGACTTTTTTTGTCAAAATATGCCTTTTTTCTTAGAATTAGCTTTTTTCTCAAAAATTACTTTTTATTTTTTTATTTCACTTCTCTTTTTCAAAATGTCACTTCTTTTTTTTTGTTTTTCCAGAATGTGGCTTTTCTTTTAAAATCATATTGTGACATTCTTACTGAAGAGACTTGCAATTATTTTCCCTAGACTTCTGCTTTCAGACGTAGTTAATTATGTAGTTATTACCCTATCCGATAATAATCCAATGCAGAGGCAATCATGTAATATAATACATTATTTTATATATATTCAATATTTATATATGTATTTTTATATAGTCTTAAAGTTACAACCGGCCCTTTGGTGCAACCATAATGCTGATGTGGCCCGTGATGAAATTGAGTTTGACACCCCTGCTTTAAAGGATAACATTGCACTTGTACAGTATAGTTGGTTGTACGCATCGGCCCCCCACCCTTCCTCTAATAATCCTGTGATAATCTCTCTGGGATTTTGTAGATTCCTCTCCAGCTGTGGTGGGATTATCACCACTTTTCTAGATTTGTAACCCTGCACTTTCTGCAGCGATTTATAACTCATCAGGGACTGAATTAGTGAATTATTTACACGAGGAAAGTAGCCGATCTATTACGGCTAAATATAAGCAGCTGAGCAAATGTATCTGTCCATAGTTTTGATCCTGTTTTTCAGGATTAGTGCGCTTATATTTAGTTAATCTTTACCCTGCAATTAATTCATGCATACAGTAAATGTTTCTTTTCAGTATGTAGACTTCATTTTCTTTGCGATGAAACGCCCTTTCAGACACGAGTGAATCACCTCAGCTAGTGTTAACATCTTCTGTAACATGCTAGCTATCATTTAGCAACCTAAAATAGGCAATTACAGAAACATCCTTGAGCATATTCACTACTAATGTCTCGTGTTATAGTCCACCTTTAGTTTTCCTTCTTCAAATGTGACTTTTCAGCTTCTGAAAGTCCCTTTAATCAGCAGGATTATGGGAAAAATATGCTCCCAATTTTCCTGAAACATGGTATCATGGGCCAAGGAGAACTGATTAAATGTTGGAGCAGATCCAATTCAATCGTCGCCTCCTTTTTCTTGTCTAGTTTTCTTCTAAATGTTAAATAAAGTTTTCCTTGTCTTTCAACATCTCAAACCTTGTTGGAAAGACGTGTTTTCACTTAAATATAACTGTCATCCTTTTTTTCGTCTGATAATCAATCAGTCACTGTATAAGTAAATCATCACAACACACTGTGTATTCAGTTGTGCATCATATACTCTACTCCTGTGTATATTGTGCATACCGTGCAGAACATGGTAATGGGAAAAGACTTGATAGGTTCAAAGGCTGACGGATGACAAACATCTTTCAGGTGCAGATGGTAATCAAACTTATAAGTGGCTCCATCTTTCAACACAACATCACAGCTGGTAGGAGAGGAGGCTCATGGGAAATTATATGTAGGGGGGGGGCATATGTGATTTTATTAATGTTATCTGAGAGCAAGACCTATGTTGATGTATGAGAGAATCTTTGAGATCACTGTAATTACATCTAAGTTGTTCGAATTGCAAAGTAGTGTTTATGATACTATCAGCAAATTAAAATGTAATCAAGTGAAAAAGAAAAACAACTTAACTTGCACATAAAAGCATTTTCACACATTAAATCCCTCGATGTTCAGGTGTATATCAGTATATCAGTATAAACACACTACAGGAAAGCAAGAACCCTAAAAAGCAGAACAGGGATTATTCAGATTATTAGCTAATACAAAATATAAAACAACTATTAAATAAACATATTGACATATAATATAGTATATAAAGTAATAAAAATGAGCTCCACCTTTAACAGCTGTGATGAACACATCAATAATCATAATCCAGTCTTTTAAAACGCATTTCACTTTTAATACTTAGGTTTATTTTCATGCCAATACTTTGAATGCATGTCTTTTCCTGGTCATAACATTTATTAATGCATATGTTGTGAAGAAATGACAAACATTCTCCACAAATTAGTCGATTTTCTGAAATATTTGTTGTTTAAGTAAAATGTTTTGAGTTTTTGAGTTTGGTTGAACGAAACATGACATTTTATTAGGCTATTGGGATTTTTGACCTAATCACCATCGTTTTAGTTTAAAACCAAAGCGTCTTTTCCTGGTAACAGTATTTTTTTTAATTCAGTGTTCTTCCTCCTCTGCTGCTGTTACTTGACATGTAAGATTTTCCCATGGTCTGTTAACAACCCCCGCAAAACGCAGTTTATACGGTCCTTTTCTCCCCCTCCTCCTCCCTCCCCCTCCTCTCCCTCCCTCCTCTCCCTCCTCCCTGTTTCTGTCATGCTCCGCTCGGAGACAGACACTTTGA